GCCAGTCGGAGACGGTCTGTGAGGTGTCTGTCGGTAGGCGGCAACTGTACTTTGATTTGGTGATTTTTAACTGTGAAAATGTCATCTCTCAGAGGGAAGTTGATCCAAAGTGCACATCTGCTGACGAGATAAAAACGTGCACATCAACTCTACAGACATCCTCGTAAGATTAACAATTAAGTTTCATATTTATAGTCATGATTCTACAAGGCATTGTGATTTCATTAAAAAAAGCACTGTAAGTGAAAAAATAAATAAGCACTTAACTCAATCGCACGGGAATGGACACATCTACATTCTGCAGTCTCTGCACTAGATTTCTGCTCTGAAATGATTTTAATCAGTCTGAATTTGCTTTTGCATGTGGAGTCGATGGTGCACACTTCTCTTCAGTTGCGTGGCCTATTAAGAAACTGGCGGAGTGTTTCTGTAGAACGCGCGTTGAGGGAGCCCAGCTGACAACTGTGTAAACCCATTTTCAGCTGTTCATTGGTCTTCCGAAGTCTGCCAGAATGAGGCCCAATATGTTCCTGAATTATTTTTTCATTTTACGACAGTAAATGTCGCCGAAATCAACTCGTCAAACACATAATTAACTCTAAAGAAAATAATTAGTAAGTTGTCTCCTTAATGACTCCCTTCTGTGTGCAGAAGTCAGGATTGGCTTGGTGCGGCATGGACCCGCCTCCTGATACATACGCAAGTGTTTTACGACCTGTGATTCCGTTCCATTGATTGGTCAAACTGGCTGCGGTAGGTGAACCAAACCTCGGCCAAACTACCAGTTTCAGAGCATGTTAGCAAATGCAGAATTCCTTTATCTTCATTTCTAAAGCCTTGAATTCAGCCTTGGAGGAAATGGACAAGATTAAAAAGATACATTCCTTTATTTAGCATGCTGTGCTGTGTTGTACCAACATGTCAATAAAGTTAGAAAAAAATATTTACGGAATTATAAGTTCTAAAAGAGTCTTATTCTCACGTGTCAAGCATTAATAATCAAACTATATCGCTTTCATCGATTCGTTGTTGCAGCCCTAATTCATTGTTGTTATAAAGTTATAACAATGACTCAATCTCAACACGTAAGACAAGTAGCTTCGACCGCTGTGCGATGAGGTGTAAGAATAAATTCTGCTACTGGCTGAAGAGCAATGTCAAGTGTTATGGAGTATGATATTTATTAACATTCCGATTCTAAAACGTTCTTTGAAAGAGCGTACTTGTTATATTATATTGGCATTATGTTATCAGTGGAATTAAATGGTCTAAAAATTGCAATAATATTGTTTATCGCAAATAATGTTGGTGCAATAATTTCTCAACACAAATGTGATAATGTGACAGCCAACACGTCACTTTGCAAGAAAGACATTTTTACTGTTTATGCTGTGAAGCCCCGATAACTCCACTTTCTATAAAGTCATTGGGATGTTGGGTAGCACCGTCCGTGCAGAGACTGAGCAGATGTCACAGAGTCTACGTCTAGTGATCTCCTGAGGAAACACAACACGCTTCAGTGGATATATGCTTTACAAAAAGTTATGCTTCACTGGTTTCACAGTCTCAGTGTCTTATTGGGGAAATGCCTGGAGGTACTTGGGCCTCCCCAGAAGTATGACTAGTCAGGTGTTGCCTAATCATTTGCTGAATCCAGTGCCTGCATATATCAGCTCATTTTACAAATAATGGAAGTAGAAAATCTAACATGGAATGCTAAATCTAAAACGTGCTCTGCTGCAAATCTAAGTATCAAACATATTTTTGGGGATTACGAGACATGACATGAGTGACCTCTTTGTTAACCTGACTCTCTACTCTAACCTTGACTATAATTGCTGGTATATTGAAGGCTGCAAGCAACAGTCAAAAGAGAAGCAGGCGTACTGTTACGCTATGAACACTACCTACAGATCTCAGGGCCATCTCACTGAATATTTTATCAAAGACAGCTGCAAACTCCTCTTTTTACTTTAGCCTTTAACTAGATATGAATAACCAGATATAAGCCCGAAACCCACTTGATTTTGCATTTCTTTTCAAAAGTTGCTGCCAATATGGGAAATGATTTTAATATAAATAAGAAGATATAGAATAAAAGAGTAAAACCTTGACTAGGTGCACAACAAAGAAAGCTTTGGCGGAATATGCGTTTATGAGCTGCAAAATTGCAGATCGAACAAGTAGAGCTCATGCAAATACGCGTTCTGTTATCGAGCTGCCAAGTTTGGTGAAGCAGCCACAAGCCAGTGCAGAAGTGGGTCAGGCGCTGTTGAGGGCATGGATGATGCTCAATGTTTTCTGCCACTAATCCCAGAGGCTAAATACCATTGTGGTGCTCCAAACACTGACTATTGATTGGTTTAGATAACCGAGTCCACTGAGAAATCACAGCAAAGGGGACCGAGACCAGGCTGGCTTTTTCCCCAGAACAACAAAAAGCAAAAAGGACAAACGTTAGGTGGAATTAGGTCAAATAGTATTTAACTGAAACGGGAAGTTTTCTCACATTTTGTCTAAAGAAATAATAATTATGTAAATATAAAAAGCAGGTGTATTCTAAGTGATTGTTGTTGTTCCAAAGTGCACTTTTGCAGAAAAAGAAAGCAAAAACTAAAAACGGCAGTTATACTTAATAGTACTTGTTATAAAGGATGTGTCATATTTTGTATATTCTATTATCATATATCTCAATTGCTGGAACAATCGAAAACTGACATTACCATGAAACAAATAATAATAATAATACAGGTAATGTAATAACCTGAACTAGGACTCTCCAGACAACAGGGCCAACAAAAGAAATTCAATGAAAATGGGCGTATTTTTTAACTTTATTAACGTTACTCCTGGAGGCTAATGTGTGTGAATCTAGTCACAGTTGTAATGATATCACAAACAGCACTGTCTCGGTACTAGCTTGTGGAGGACAGACAGCCCCATCAAAGAAAAGCTGTGAACCTATAGGGAAAATCCTGAGCATCGTGCTGAAGAAGACTTGAAAGTAGAAATTGAGACCATAAACACACATTGTCATAGACTAGTAAAGCTTGGGATCAAACCGCAAATCCTATTCTTAAACGATGACCCTGCCCGGCCCCGTATGAGGACGTCAGCCCTTCCAGCCATAACTGGGAGTTGAACAAAACACTCCAACACCATGAGAATGGATGTGCTGCTATAACACTGCTCTTGTTTCAGGCTTTCTATCAGATGTTGTGACATGGCCACTTGGTTCCCATTCTGAGCAACAACGTGTTCCACTGAATTTGGCTGATCTGGATTAGGTTTGTGTTCCACTTCACTATGTTAACAAAGAATGCTATTGTCTAAATACCTGTATATGGTGGATAAGGATACAGACAGTGGATATCAACTTTGGGGAAGAGTGGATGTTACAGGGGCTTACAAGCATATGAGCACATTCACAGCTTCAGAACTGTCAGCATCACAATTAAATGACGCTTTGAATCATTGGCTGAGAAGAGTTTCCAGCCCCGCAGCAATTCATCATCACTGGAGCAGGCTGTCCTCCGACGACAGCAAACAAATAATTTGGCTCGCAGCCGGAGAGAAGCCTCAAACAATCACATTACACTCTAGACGCCACATTAAATGTTGTCATGCAGTCATAAACTGATGTATTTTTTTAAATCTGTTATAATATATTTCACTTAAGTGAAGTGAAGTTAAGAGTTTGAAACAAGGACAATAAACAAAGTTCAGTTCTCTATGACACCAGTACCACCACTGGTAGTGTTTAATTTTTTATTTTAGAATATAGTGCTTTACATCCATTATCAACCTCCGAGTCATCTGCAT